AGGGGGGGGGGGGGGGGGTTGTAAATGCAGAATCAGATTTTTGCATAATTATTAAGGTTCCATTTTCATATATTGAACGAGAATGTAAAATTTTATCAGTGGTTTTTCATCCCTCAGGGGGAAAGCTCTAATTTATATATGTGAAACCTTATTCATGTGTCTTTAAATGAGCACAAGGACAATTACCACATTGTTCCGTAGTACGCTGCTTGGAGTCTTTGTCTTGAAGGCAATTACCTTGGAAGCTCAATCTGTATGGTAAAATAAACGTCAAAACACCAGAAGAAAAGAAATGGAATTAAAGATATAAAAGAAAAAGAGAAGACAATGAGGGGCGTATAATACCTAGGAAGATATCCCAAGCACTTGGGTATGCTTCCATTAAAAAAGTTGTATGAAAAATCAGCAATTTTTAATTGGGACGATAGACAAAAACCTGTGGGATTTCCACTTGAAGCATACCTAATACAATTTATTAAACAACAATATTATGAAACGAGACCTCAAAATTTACATTTGAGATATTTTCTAACCAAACTTCAGCATTCAAATAGGAACTTAACCCCGCTACAAGGTTATAAGATCAAATTGTGACTGATTGTTTTCGTTGGTGTGATCAATAACCATTTCCTGGTAGATAACTCATATACATTTAATGCATGTTTAGTATGTAGTAATTGATTGGAATAAAGAATATTACTGACCAAATTTTAGCTTCTTTTATTCGTTAATACATGTCTAGTGCTATTTCATGCTCCCTAACAAACATATCATTATTGCACATATACAATTAACACGTGCAAAGATCTCAAAGATAGTTTAATAACTGGAAAAAGATTTTTCGATCAAGACTCAATGCATTGTGGACAATCAATTTATCATATTGTACATGGAACTGAATACTGTCAAACATATAGCATCTCAGGTAAACAGAATTCTGATGGAAAACTATTGAATCAATATATAAACAAGCAGATTGTGCGTAATATGCAAAAAGATAATGCCAAACTCCTCCGACGCCCTGCCCAATAAAAGAACTAAAACAGGAACAAAAAATTCCATGATCAAGCACTCAGAAAAGAACAAAAAGAAAAATGACACACTTCTGGTCCAGTAGAACTATTTTCCACTTACATCCCATGCACCTTGGAAGGGAACTCTGAGCCATTACCAACTGGGAGTCGTCCCTGAAGCCTATTCCTATCCAGCCTAATTTCCTCGAGGTGCTTCAAGTTGCCAAGCTCGGAAGGCAACCTCCCTGTCAACCCATTCGATTGTAGGTTTCTACAATAAGAGAATAAAACAGGCAGATAAAATATAGCTAGAAGGGAAGTCTAGTTTATATATCTAAATGTCGAATAACTCATGTTACACTAACATTTTCACAAGATTGGTTAAGTTTCCAATCTCAGGAGGAATTGGTCCTGTTAGCCGGTTGACGCCCAAATCCAAGACCTTCAGGTTTTTTAACTTACCAATTTTCTTCGGGATAGTGCCCATCAGCAAATTTTCGTGCAAAATTCTGTTCATTAGCAGCATACATAAGCAACTGAAAAATAATTCTAGGACATTGTATGAAAGAGAAGCTTACAATTCTTGCAAATTAGAGAGTTGGTACAGTTCTGGTGCAATGAAACCCTTCAAAGATTGCCCAGATATGTTACTGCAAAATCAAGTGACATCACGAATTGGAAATTTTAAGTTAGGCACAAAGTGAACATTTGGTAAATAATCCAGTATAAAAGTAACAAGATTTGAACTTAATTTTCTTCCTCAAATTCAATACCATCCAGCGTTTTTCTTCCAAATTCGACCTAGAAGAATACATTTCCGGTGTGTGTGTGTATATATATATTTCAGTGAACTGAAATTGATAGAAATTCTTACAGCCTTATGACATGATCCCTGGCCATAGAACAAGAAATTCCAGACCATTCACAGGGCTCGGACTCTAGATAGTTCCAATCTGACAAAATTTGAAGCGGATCCTCCATAATAGCTCTCTTGAAGAAAGTGAGAGCTGCAGCTGAACAAAACCCACAAATTCTTCTGTCAAGAAAATATTACACAAACTTTGCACTAAATTCCTGCTGAATCATTCCTATATATAATTAATGTAAACCACAAAATTCCAAGGTCTTCCCAGAACAAAGTCAATTGACATATTCAACAATTATATAAATCGAAACAATATCAACCACTTTACGCCCAAACTAAAAATGATTAAACTTTTTATAGAGCAAGTGAATCAAGATCCGCGAGTCCACTATTGTGATATATAGCATAAGTACCTTCATTTTGTGGCAATGCATTACAAGAAGCCAGAAAGAGTGCCAAACTCAGCAAAAGTACTTGAAATGAAGTAAAAGATCCCATCTTGAATCTTTACACACATCAAGAACTTACAAAACCCATCAAATAATAGTTTCCTAGAAAGCCAAAAGGAGAAATGAAGAGGACCCACAAGAAGTAAAAAAGAAAATAATCTGGAATTGGATAAGTGAATTTATCCTTAAACAGAGAAAATAAGTTCGTGTTAGAACAAGAAGCTCAAGTACAATGCCAGTGTTTATCAATAAGTTATTAAAGGTAAGCGGACGATAAAAATTAGGGATAAAAATGATTGAAGTAAGCTTAAGAGTAAATCTGTGAATTAAAATCCATAACAACCCATGAAAGCAAACCAACAGTTGGAAAATGAAAGAGTGAAGTTTCAAAGGAACCAACAAATAAGAAATCTTTGATTTGAAGAGAGGTTTGGTTTGGTGTCAGAAACAGAGAAATCAGCGAGTGAAGAAATTAATGAAAAGAAAGCCAAAAATTATTCAAAGTAAATGCAGTACTAGCCCACAGAACATGAGAGAGAGACGGAGAGATTGGAATATTTCTGTCATTATTTGGGGTGTTTGAGTTGGATTTATAATAATAAAAATTGGCAATTTTCATGAATGAATTTTGGGTTGGAAAAGAATGCTGCTATCCTTGATTAGTCAATGGAGGGTGCAGTGGTGTACGTCTTGCAAATGATCGTTATAAAAAAAGGTTG